TAGGTCCTTTTAGGGTGGTGTTTTTACATTTTTTTTTTTTTTTTTTTTGGTGTTCTAGCATTTTTTAATTCAAGATGGAGGATTGGAATATTTGATTGAATGCAGTTCGAGCAGCCCTTTGGAACCTTCTCTCATGGTTAGGAAGAAATAGAAGGGTGTTTCTCAATACGGAGAGGAATGTGGACAACATATGGCAGTTTGATAGTTACAGTTCTTGATTCGATGATATTTAGGTACACACATCCGATCCTCCTGAACATTTTTGGTAAACAAACGAGGACATTACTTTTTTTCATTGCCAGTTCAAGGCAGTCAAAGATCAAAGCCAGTGAAGAGCAGGCCTTCCCTCTCTTTCTCCCCTTCCATTCAAGGAGAGAAGTTCCACAATCAGATTAGTTTGGTACTTTCTTTCTGAATTCACTCTGGATATGAAATACATAGAAGTCTATTAGTCTGTTGTGGATATTAATACATGAAATGTGAAGAAAATGGCAATAAATGATATTCATACAAATTGTATTCATTTAAAGTGAATTAGTATGTGTTGTCATGCCTTTCTGAAGTGTTTATAGATGATCAAAATTTTGTTTAGTATTAATTTCTACCGTCTGGCTACATTTTTAGAGGGGTAAAAACTGTTCTTTAGTTAATAGTTCATAAGGCATCTATTACCTCGCCCCACAAGGTAATAGAGAGAAGCAGCAATTATACGTGAGGTGGAAGATTCAAATCTCTGACCTTTTGATTGGGAGGGCATGTTTTATGCTTGCTGAGCTATGCACATATTAGCTAGTGTATATATCAACTCGAGTATAACTCAATTGGTTAAGACATTACACATTTTTCATAAGACCGAAGAGTTCAAATAGGACAGAAAAAAAATTACCGTCCACATTAGGAAGAAAAGAACTCCCTATGAATGCATGTGTTTGAATGAATAATCTAAATTTTGTAGATCTAAACAAGTCCTATGATCATAGCTTCAGATTTAATGAACTTTCTTCAAAGCTTTAACCATCTGTCATTAAATGATCCAATATGAAAGAGAAGAAATTGAATTCCATTTAGAGAGAGAACAATACGTTGGCAATTAAATGGACTGTTAAAAACATAAAATCAGCAACCGTTAAGCTCTTCTGGCCATTACAAAAGTGGCTAAAGTTGAGTATAACTTTCATCAACAAAGTTCTTCAAAACAAAATAAAGAAGAAAAAACTCGATCAAATGGCCACTCTTATTGCTCCCAAGTACTTCTCTCCTGTTGAAGATGCTGAGAATATCAAGAACTCTTGTTTAGGTATCTCTAATCTCTTCTTATTTCATATGGGTATTGAAAAAAACAACACTTCTTGAAAGAAAATTGTTCAAAAATTCCTCTAAAAGCACTTGAATTACATAAAAATTAAGTACTTTTCGTGATCTATAAGAACTTTGGAAGGCTTTGCCAGAAGTGTTGATTGATGTATCAGAGATTTGTATATATTATGTTCATTGAAGGTTGGGGAACGGATGAGAAGGCCATAATCTCCATTTTAGGCCATAGAAATGCAACTCAAAGGAAGCTTATAAGGTTGGCTTATGAAGAAATCTATAATGAGGATCTCATTCATCAACTCAACTCTGAGCTTTCTGGAGATTTTGAGGTATGTTTATCTATATATATATATGCTTTTGTTGTGCTAAAGCTTTTGTAATGAATTTTGATGGATGAGTTTGAATATGTTATGGTACGGTAGAGCGCTATATCTCAGTGGACGCTTGATCCTGCTGATCGAGATGCCGTTTTGGCAAACAATGCATTGAAAGCGTCGACACCTGATTATCGTGTTATCGTCGAAATAGCATGTGTTCAATCTGCAGAAGATCTCTTGGCAGTAAAACGAGCTTATCGGTTTCGATTCAAACATTCCCTTGAGGAAGATGTTGCCTCTTCCACAACTGGGGATATCAGGAAAGTACGTCTTTAATTAAGCAAGTCGAGTTCTAAGTTGTGTAATATTTTCCTACCAAAAGTAGCTTATGAGATTACTAAATCGGGTTGTAACCGCCCTGGCTCACTGCTAGCAGATATTGTTTCCACACCCTTATAAAGGATGTTTCGTTCTCCTCCCCAACCGGATCCGGGAAAGGTTTTCACACCTTCTATTTCGTTCTCCTCCCCAACGGATGTGGGATCTCATAATTCACCCCCCTTCAGGGCCCAACATCCTTACTAGCACACCGCCTCGTGTCTACCCCCTTCATTCCTTTTTCCAATCAATGTGGGACCCTCACCAAATCCACCCCTTTCAGGGCCCAGTGTCCTTACTAGCACACCGCCTCGTGTCTACCTCCCTTCAGGGAACAACCTCCTCACTGGCACATCGCCCAATGTCTGACTCTGATACCATTTGTAATAGCCCAAGCCCACTTCTAGAAGATATTGTTCTCTTTGGGCTTTCCCTTTCGGGCTTCCCCTCAAGGTTTTTAAAACACGTATAGGGAAAGGTTTCCACACCCTTATAAAGGGTGTTTCATTCTCCTCCCCAACCGATGTGGGATCTTACAATGAGTTAAATTTTAAACGAACAAAAGGGTAGCTAGAAGAATCCTTGACGATCAACCTTTAAGACAAAAAAATTGTGATTGCAGCTTCTTGTGGCAATAGTGAGTGCCTACAGATATGAAGGCGATGAGATTGATGAAAACACTGCCATTTTCGAAGCAAACATTCTTCATGATGCAGTAAAAGGCAAAGCATTCAACCATGAAGAGATTATCAGAGTCTTTAGCACAAGAAGTAAGCCACAGCTCATTGCAACTCTCAATCGCTATAGAGATATCCATGCCACATCCATTACCAAGGTAAGAACAATATTACACTAAAATGGGTGAAATTCTATGTTTGTTTCATTATATGATTCTCACTATAATCCATGTGGGTTTTGATATTAAACTTCAGGGTTTGATGGGAGACTCAGCTGATGAGTATCTTGCTGCATTAAGAACTGTTATCAGATGCATTAGAGATCCAAAAAAGTACTATGCAAAGGTACATATTATCATCAATCAACACATTAACACATTTACAAAGTAACCAAATTTAATTGATTAGAAGTTAAATTGCTTGGAGTGGGGAATGAAGCATTCTTTGAAAGGGTGTGAAAACGTCTTCCTAAAAGACACATTTTAAAACTTTGAGGGGAAGCCCAAAGAGGACAATATCTGCTAGCGGTGGGTTTGGACTGTTATGTATGGTATTAGAGCCAGGCACCGAACGGTGTGATAGTGAGGATGTTGGGCTCCCAAGGGGGTGGATTGTGAGATCTCACATTGGTTGGAGAGGGGAATGAAACACTCCTTATAAGGGTGTGAAACCTCTCCCAAGTAGACGCATTTTAAAATCTTGAGGGGAAGACCAAAAAGGACAATATTTGCTAGCGGTGGGCTTGGGCTGTTACAAATGGTATTAGAGTCAGGCACCGAACGGTGTGCCAGCGAGGATGTTGGCCCCCAAGGGGATGGATTATGAGATCCTACATTGGTTGGAGAGGGGAACGAAGCATTCCTTATAAGGGTGTGGAAACCTCTCCCTAGCAAATATGTTTTAAAACCGTGAGGCTGACGATGATACATAATAGGCCAAAGCGAACAATATTTGCTAGTGGAGGATTTGAGTTGTTACATAAGCTGATCGTAATGACGTCAATAATGTAAGTTCGTCTTTCTTACATTGACACCTTGGTTTGAGGAAACTAAAACTCAACCTACTATTTTTAGGTTCTGCGAAATGCGATGAATGCAGTCGGGATCGACCAAGATGCTCTTAGCAGAGTGATTGTGACAAGAGCTGAGAAAGATTTGAAGGAGATTATGGAACTGTATTTGAAGAGAAACAATATATCTCTTGAGGAAGCTGTGAACAAAGACATAGGAGGAGACTACAAAGCATTTATTCTAGCACTTTTGGGCAGTGATGAACCTATGGACCTTAAGGATTAAGCTCTAAAATAGTTTCATTCATTTTTGTTTTGTTTCTCTACTTTTAGAATAAGTTTGATCAAACAACATAGGACACTTTGGATGAATTCTACGGTTATAATGGAAATTATTAATAAAAATTAGGTAGTACCAACTTCTAAGTCTTTTTTGGTTTTTTTTTTTTGCTCAACAATATTTAGGGTCGAAGAATTTAAACTTCTAACATCTTGGTCAACAATGCATGCTTCTAATATTTATTGTAATTTCTAAAATCTCAAATTTTAATATCATTCCCTTCTTCTCATCATTGTATCTTCTAGTGGTTGAAGGCTAACTCCCTCGTATAAAGATTTCTAATATCTCTAAGAAATCTTGGATCATTCCTACAGTTAAAGCGAGAAGGGTCTTATGGACTCGAAGGCATCTTTGTTCTTGTATGGATACAAAAATGTGGACCTAATTGCAAGAGCAGAGCTCGTTCAACCATAACGGTTAAATTGAAATGATGTTATGATATAACGCCTAAACAACGTTGATAGCAAAGATGAAGAGCTAACGCATGCCAAGGTTTGACAGGATAAACATTGATTGAACCCATCAGAGTTCTTTTGAACAATACTTCCCAATGGAAGTTTGGATCCCTTAATTTATGCACTTAAAAGAATTTCTTATGTACAGAAGAATTGAATTTCTGTGCCAAATGTATATCCCATATGAAGCAGAGAAGACAGAAATCAGCAGCAAAGCACATAATATGAAGCTACACAAGGAACAATTTCTATGTTGGTCCTTCACCTTTTGGAAACTCAAGCTTCCTGTGTCTGAAACACAAATGTGTCTTCTGTGAGACCCCCCTTGTCATGTGGAACAAGCTTCCTATGGATATCTCTACGACGTTTCAAACTAAGCAACGAAACTTCGACGCCCGTTCGGGCCTCGACAGCCAGCTGACTGGTTTTTGATCATTTACAGGCACTCCATAATGTTGCTTTAAGAAGATATGTGTATCAGATGGAAGAACGACTAGTATGATTCTTGTATTCTCAAGCATATTTCGTCCGAAGGCACGTCTTCATGATCACTATACTTCACTAGTTCGCCATTTCCACTGCAAAGTCGTGTCGATAACGAAGGGGAACCCGGGGAATGATTGCCTGCATATGTATTTGTAACACCAAGATTTTGCATCAACAGATTTAAATATCATTTTATGATGCAACATTAAGTTCTTCACACACCTCTAAAGGATGAGCTTCTTTCAAAATCTTTGGTTAGTTGCAGCAAGATGGTACCAGACAGCACAACAACAAAGCCACATATTTCAGATATGATTGTTCCTCCACTTTGGCCATCCCAATCCTGAAGTAAAAGATGTATTTTTCTAAGTACTAATATATTAAGCTTATGTATGAACGACTCGAGATAAGAGCGAATGAAATGAAGCGAAGATATTGTCCTAACTCCTAGCAGACTTCCTCATCAATCAGCTCAGATAACATCATGAATCCAAGTTCAGAAGAATCTAAGATCTTTAGAAATCGTTTCGTTTCGTTTGATATCGCATAAAATTTAAA